CATTTGTACTTTTTCCCATGCTCACATTTTAGCAGCAATTATTATTTTACATTCCCTAGACCACACGTGGTTTGACATCGACCTGGGTCACTCTTCTACTCATTACAGCTGCAAAACCCAGCGAGACATTTCTAATAGATATACATGCAGGTGATTGCTCTGTTGTGATGTTTCATCTCTTTTCCCAGACAGGGGATTATGGGAAGAGGTTGCCATGGTAACTCAGAGGCCAGTTATATAGACTGATCCAGGCCATGCCCTGAGGTTAGCTGCATTATTCACCTGAGGATGCTTAAGATGTTTTGTTAGGCAGGTATGCTTATACAAACAAGTTAAGGTAGTTAATTCCAGCAGAATTCCCAAGCTGCCTTTTCTGGTAAATCTACCTCATCTCCAACCACTTTCCATCTTTTATCCGTATATCAGACATCAGCACCAAAATGCTGTTAAAACTATGATACTAATTGCCGGATATGGCCTTTAAGCACCTTCAACGAAAAAGGTTAAAACCATGGTAATTTGTCTTGTGTAAAATAACGACACGCATAATTGTATAACAGATAGGGCGAGAGTTTCAGAGTTTGGTCTGGTTTTAGTAAGAAAATATTTAACTCTTCTTCTAATAGGTCTAAAAATGTCTTCATCTGTTCAGCATTAATCCAGTTGGATGACATTTCTTTCCACAGTGTCAGTAATTATCATTTTGAGTCCTGTGTGACAGGTTTACAACTAAACCACGTGAAGTGTTGTCGGCTTTTTCAGAACTTTGGCTCATACCGTTTGACAGCATTCTTATTTATGTCTAAACGTGTAAGTGTTCAAACTATTAATTTTACGATGTGTTTCACATGTAGCATCAGAACTTTTCCGGCAGTGTTGCAACTTCTTCATTTTGACAACCGGCCCTGATCACACATGACCTTTAAATAGAAAAATGATGAGAAATGTGTTGATAAGAACAAATGTGTGAAAGCGCAACAGGCGCTTATTATATACTTATGATTTCTGCATGTTTCTTTAAGTGTTTTGATACTTAGTAGGAAAGTACTACTGTTGTCTTTTCTGTCGTATTTTAATGTAATATTTAATTATTTACAAATATTAATATTTGTATTTTTTTATTAGTTTTTTATTTATTTAATTCAAATCCAAATTTTATGGAAGCATGGGTGGAGATGCACAACTCACTGTCACAGTGCTAGTGTTGTGGATGGTTGCAAGTTTGTTAGATGTTTGCATAAGACTTTGTGTCATTGAATAAACAGGCAATGAATAAATACGGACAAACTCACTGGGGATATATTAACAAAATATATATTTTTAGACTAATATCAAAATAAATTCTGATATCAGTAGCTGCGTTTACATGGACCCTAATAATCCGTTTGTAATCGGAATATCTGACTAGTAGCAGAGTTAAAAAAATGTGTTAGTCACATGTAGCTAACCATGTCATTCAGTATGAATTGGTTAAAAGAACATAATTTGTTTTGAAGCTTGTGACATATAAACGTGCACATCATCCCGATCACTTATTTAGGGTTCATGTAGACACTATGTTTGGAATTATCAATCAGAATGATTTCATTCCGGTTGAAACAAAAAAACATCCATGTAAAGTAAACGTAGCTACTAAAATACAGGCATTTAGAGGCTTTCTCCCCAGCCTTAAAAGAAAGCTTGTTTCAATCCTAGCCACAAACTGAGCCAAAACTGAGATGAATGGACCAATCACACATGAAGCTGTTCTTACACCATCACCACCATCATATATTTACTGCCAGCACAACAGCATCATTCATTGTCAGACACGGACAGTCCCATGCAGCCTATTGGCCTAAGATGTTTAGATTGGCCTAAGTGAAGAAAAGGCCTGAGAAAGCCATAGAAAGACTCTCTTTGTGCTCACTAATGCATTAAAATCCCCATGCTTTAATTTAACAGGACATGGGCTCTTCATTTGCATGCGGGCATGCCTTTGACAAGACGGTTTACAGTAGAAAGCAACACACTTGGTCTTGGATTTCCTGTTCGTTGCATCCAAATGGTGATTTCTGATGTCAAAAAAGAGGGCTAGACTTTCAATAAAATTCTAGTTTTACAACATTAAGTAAAAATTGCAAGATATAAACTCGGAATTCTGACTTTATAACACGCAATTGCGACTTTATATCTCGCAATTCTGACATCTTTTCTCAGAATTGTTAGATGTAAACTCGCAATTGCATGTTATAAAGTCGCAATTCCCTATAATTGGACTTTATAACTTGCAATTGCGAGTTTATAAACACAATTCTGACTTCATAACACACAATTGCGACTTTATATCACGCAATTCTGAGATAAAAAGTCAGAATTACGAGATGTAAACTCGCAATTGTGAGAAAAAAAGTCGCAATTGTGAGATAAAATGTCGCAATTACCTTTTTTATTTTTTATTCTGTGGCGGAAACTAGCTTCCATAGTGTGCATTAATGATGTTAACGTTGCAATGGCATTATTATCTTGTCTGCAAATTTTATGCATTTGCTTTTTTATTTCTTAATGAAAAGTCCTAAGGAAAGTCAGTTCACTCTGCTGCCATATTTGCAATGCCTTCAGGCATGCAATACCAACTCCTACCTACAATATTTAAATGGGGAAATACTGAAGTTTAAAAAACTGCTTGCCAAATTCACATTTAAATCAGCAAAATCTGACATGAACTTTCCCATAAATGCCATCTATGCAGCTGCAGTTACACGATGACTTTACGAATTGGTGATTGGCTATTTTATTTAAAATGCTTGACTAATTCCACTATATTGCACGTTGCAGTTGCTCGCATTCATAGTAATGCTAGTGAACCGTCTAGGTTTACAGACATTGGTTGAAGTCCGCAAAAAGAATAAACTTACTAACCCCTTTACTTATTTACTTCCTTAGTACACGTTCCTCGTCTTATTATGAAAGATTAATCGGTGTGTGTAATTAAAAAAAAATAGTTGCCTTTGTAATATTTAATCATGACAATGTGATAACTTGCTCTTTCTCTAAAATGTCTTTCCTTTTCTGTTGGTCACCACACGGGTAGATAATATTAGCTAATGGCATTGCAAAATTGGCCTGGATTCATTTTGGTATATAACACTCACATTTTCTAATTCTTGTTTGCAAAATAATGTGAATTCTGAAGGAGAATTCACGTTAACTTCATTTCTTAACATCAGTGTATTTTATTAAAAAGTAACAACTTGCTCCGCTTCTGAAATAACTTTACTTTTTGGATGATATGGTCCTCTTATTTTTACATTTTTATTTTATTTATTTATTTTTCCCCAAAAAACCTGCCAGAGACCATTTTAAGTAATTTTCTAAAGGATTAAATCAAGTCCCTCCCAACATTGTATCAGTGTAAAAAGTACTTGAAAACCATACTTGAGTAAAAGTACAGATACTTTACAGCAAAAAGGACTTTTGCAAGTTATACAAGTTAAAAGTCACCAATTCCAATATGACTTGAGTAAAGGTCTTAAGTACTTAAGTACTTTTAAAATCAGTAATCAATTTTAGGCTCAAACATGCACTAGTCCTTAACAACTAAGAGACATGCCAGTGAAAAACAAGAAACAGTTGATTTGTGAGGAGGAGAGCAATCACGTTTATTTTCTAAAGTCGAAATAAAACTGAGCAGCTCAAAATTGCAATAAATCCAGGTCGACACAGCAGCTTGTTTCAGTTAAGCTTAAGTGCTCAAAAAGGACATAAGTAAACCAATATCCTTCAAAAAGGTCTTCAATATGACGGATAAAATAATGTTAAGTAAATTTATCTAGTCAACGTCTACTTGAACTGGATGTGCTGGTTTTGGCCTCATCACTGGCTTCAGTCATGTCTTCATCTCATATGAAACACCTGCGATTCAGCAACTACCTGCTAATCCATCACATTTGCGTAAAGTAGCCTTGTTGACAAGTATGGGTAAGGGCAAAACGCACAATATATAGTACACTCAATGCCCCGTAGATCATGGCGATATCACTACTTCTGTAGCAGAAATAAACTGCTGCAGAAAAAGTTAGGTGCCATGCAAAATGTCAAAAGTATCACAAAAGTAATGGAGTAAAGAGTGCATACTTATTCAAAAATGTTATCAAGTAGAGAGTAAAAATTGCTACTATCTTTGATGCTCAGTAAAACTACAAAGTAGCCAAAAAGATACTTAAGTACGGTAACTAATTACATTTACTCAAACACTTTACACTGGAAATATGTCACATTATGAAAGTAAAATGGGAGAGAGAAACCTGTCTGTACTTTTGTTTTTGATTTTGGTACTTTTTTTACTTATTTTTTTCCCAAGAGTCTTTGTTAGTGTACTGATGTTTTGGAATGATTGAAGTTTTAGCTCATACAATGTGAGAACCACATGAGAAAAAAAGTTATTTTAAAATTTTTTTTCTATTCCGTCGTGGAAACAACCATCCATAGATAATTTGCATGCAGTTATTTTTCCATATCCAAAACATAACTGAATTCCTCATGTGCAACATAATGACCCATGTCATTTTTAGATCTGAGCTTTTCTAGGCCGTCTACAGATATGTGCGTGCCTTTTTTTGTCAAAGCTTCAGGAAACATTTTTCAGGAAACATTTCTTGGTTGAGGTGAACAAAAAAGCTTCCTCATAGGTTGAATATTGATCATCCAAACAATCTCAAACACTTTGTTTGTTCTTCAATTGACGCAGAGGAACTTGTGGTTATTTTTAGCTTTTTGTTTCAAGTTGAAGTCACTTTTAGTTTCAAGGCCACTTTTATACCAGCCCTGACTGATATCAGGAGCACAAAAAACAGACCTCTTGCATTTCACTTCTGCACAGAAGCCAGAAGCCTGAATTTGCATGTTCATATTACTCAATTGAAGTCCGCATACAGTGTGGCTTTTACAGTATATCAAATAAACTGCTTTTGAAACGGCTACCATTCCATTTATATCCATCCTTCTTTTGTCTCCTGCAGCTGTTGGCAGAAGCAGTCCTGATGAGCAAGGTCGTCCAAATGAGAAGTTGAATCGTGGATGCAGATTCAGCAATAAGAGCCAAACTGGAGTAAATGGAAGAGTTTCAGACCTACGGCCACCACTGCATCCCAAACCACAAGGTAGAGAGTTGCGCACAATATGCATAAACGCATAAATCCTTCCTCAGTTCCACAGTGTTGATAACTACTCATGCAAAGCCGTACAAATTTACCAGAAGTACATGCTAAACCACTACACACAAACACGTCTTCCCCTTTACAACAGGCTCTGAACACTAAATGTTACCACTAACGGAATTCAAATCAGCATGGCTACTGATTAATGCTGAAATAACACTACTGAAATGAGTAAAGCATCCTCAGAGTGTCCTTGAACCCAAGCTTGATAACTAAGCAGAGTGTGTTTGAAAAGTGTGAATGATTTCCTAGTGATATGCGTCACAGTTAAACATTTGTGAAGTTCCTTTGGTTTTAAATAAAATACAGACAATCCTAGACTCTAATAAAATACAGACAATCCTAGACTCTAATAATGTCTTTACTCTTCATGTTTACTGAAAAGTGTTCAGAACATTGACTGCATTAACGATTGTTGGTTTCAAAATGTTTCAAAGATCGACATTGGACCGGAACAGAATTCCTCCTTCATAGATCAGAAATTGTATCGTTCCTCTATATTCCTATGTAAAATTAAAGCAAAAAGTCCACTGACATAAACCTCAAAGACCACACTCACTTAATTAGAGATGTGTGAAATGAGTACCCACTATTTATATCTGGATGGAGCCTTGAGCTCTGCAGTATCCACCCCATAAGATTGACTGAGATTAGCTGTGATTCGCTCACCGCAGGTAGGGACAGACTTTTCGGCTTCAAGATGCACTTCATCTCACTTTGCTGAGAATTCTCAGGTTCCATCGCAACACACTAAAGCTGCACTGCCACCTTGTGGTGATTACAGCTTCCAGTTTAATAACACTAAACCAAGTGCTTCCTTAAACATCTTCACTGAGGGGTTCAATATGAGAAAATATTTCATAGAATTTCCATTTGGGCAATTTGTTTTACGTTTCCTTGCATTTTGGGATGCAGTTTGAGGTGTAGTAAAAGCTCAGGGCTGGTTTGCCCTTGGGCAAGACACTTAACATCACGTGACCCTTGGTGCTTATCCCTGAAAGTTCATGCTGCTTTTATGCCACTCTAGTGACATGGCATGGAGATTGTGGAAACTGATTCCAAGTCAAGTCACCTTTATTTATATAGTGCTTTATACAATACAGATTGTTTCAAAGCAGCTTAATAGTGATAACAGGGAAATGGTCATCAATTATTAAATTAGTTCATTTAATCTATAAAGCAGTTCTGCCAAAAATGATGTCATCGTCCAGCTCAGTTCAGTTCTCATACAACAGCGTCAGTACAGTCAGATCAATAATATTGTTGAATATTAAGTGTCCCCAACTAAGCAAGCCAGAGGCAACAGTGGCAAGGAACCCAAGCTCCCATCAGGTGACAGATTGGAGAAAACAAACCTTGGGAGAAACCAGGCTCAGTCGGGTGGCCAGTTCTCCTCTGGCCAATGAACGAACACGGTGTCATTATGATTCAGGCTGCAACACAAGTCAGAATTCAGATCAGGATCTGTAGCATTCAAATATTCATTCAGTTCCTATGCTTGAACATCGATTCATCATGCCGAAGCTGGTCATAGGGTCTATGCGGAGGACCTGTCTGGTTCTTGTGGTCTCTCCTGAGGATCTGTACCGATGGCTGTCAGGTCGACGAGGCCTTCACAGGGGATTGTCTAGTAGACACGGTCTCTGCTGACATTCAGGGCTGCGTTTTGGTCGTGTCTAGGTGCAGGTCCACCATCTGATCTGGAAATGGACCGGATCAGGCATGACTACGGTAACCTCGGGATAAGGATGAGACAGACAGACTAATTATAGCTTTGATGCCATTCTTCTTGCGATGTAACAAGTACATCGGTGTTATAGGAAGTGTTCCTGTTGACCTAATTTATGCAGCCTAACAATCATTTAACTGATTTGAATAATAGAAATTGATAATGTGTATGCCAGGTTAAAGAGATGCGTTTTTAGTCTAGATTTAAACTAGATTCATTACTTTTAACTTATGTGCCATCCAGAAACTTGCGCTCTGCAAGCGAACGTCGTCTTGTGGTGCCATCTCAAAGAGGCACAAAATCTCTTTCTCTGACCTTTACCATGACTGTTCTCTGCTGGTGGAATGGTCTCCCTAACTCAACCAGAGCTGCTGAGTCCGTAGCCATTTTCAAGAAACGGGTGAAGACGCATCTTTTTCGGCAGCACTTGCTCCAGTAATGATAACACTTTCTCTTCTATTTATATATATATAAAAAAGAAAATTTACATGTACTGCGTTAGATTAAACTGAGAAGGGTCATAGCACTTGCATATTGTTGTCTTACTGTTAGTTTAACTGCTTCTATTGTTCTCATTTGTTAGTCGCTATGAGTAAAAGCATCTGCTAAATGAATAAATGTAAATGTAAACTGACAGATTGTGTCTGCTTCCCGAACAAGGCTAGGAAGACTATTCCAGAGTTCGGGTACTAAATAGGAAAAGGATCTACCGCCTGCCACTCAATATGTTTCCACCTTCCACTCATGCTGTTTGCTATAGCATGTAAATATAATCTCTGTCCTCTTTGTGATTTTTCTGCAGTGCCTCCTAAGCCAGCACACCTTCAGAGTCCGGTGACGGAAGTCTCCTTTCCTCTGGGTGCTGGAACGTTACTCATCATACCCAGCATGGAGGGGGGAGGAGTAGGAGGAGTAGGAGGGAAGGGCCGAGTGTCCAACCTCATCAGTCGCTTTGAGGTGAACAGGTAAACTTGGGATCAATTTCTACTTCTCTTGTCTCTGTTCATGTAAATGTAAATACTGACAAGTTCATTGATCTTGTTTGGTTTTGCAGAAGTTTACCTTGAAAGCACTATAAGTCGCTTTGGATAAACACGTCTGGCTGATGATCAGTGTTTGACATATATTTATAGATTCTGCCCTTAGTGTAGTTTTGAGGTAGTTTTTGAGGTCATGAGTACACTACCATTCAAAAGTTTGGGTCAGTAAGATTTATTTGTATTTTTTTCTGAAAGAACAAATATCTCACTAACTGTCTCATTAACACACACGTATCTTCTTTGACCTTACACAAGAAGATCAAAAAGCAGAAGTGTTTTCTTTTGTGTTTGATAACTTCAACATGAGAGGTAAAATTAATTTATCAATTTATGTCTAGCCATCTTTTTTTCGGGTACAACTACATTGAAAGTGCTTAAAGCTGCGTACTTAAGTGTGCAAAGATTTATACTTTTTAATGGCTCATGTCTAACTCTAAATTATGTTTTACTGCCAAGTGCCAATAGAGCCGTTCAGTCATTTATAGGCCAACCTGGAAGGCTAATTCACCATGGGCTCCCTCTGGAATTTCTAATAGGTTTTTAAGAGTTTAAGGTCTGTGGCTGAAGAGACTTCTACATGTTATTCTACAACATTAATAGTGGTGTATAGCATGTCTCTTAGTTGTTGAGGACTAGTGCATGTTTGAGCCCACATTTAGTACTAGTAAAATACTCAAGTACTGTTAAAATCAGATACTCTAAGGCCTGGTTTCACAGACAGGCCTTAGATTAAGCCAGGATTAGGCCTTTATTCAATTAGGACATTTAAGTAGCTTTAATAAACATGCCTTAGGAAAAAAAAAACATTACTGGTGTGCATCTTGAGACAAAACAATTGCAATGACAGTATGCCAGTACAAGTGGCTTTCAGTTAAGACCGCTCAAACAAGGCTTGTGAAACCGGGGGTAGGACTTTTACTCAAGTCTTATTGGAATTGGTGACTTGTAACTTTCAGTGGAGTCATTTTCACTGTAAAGTATCTGTACTTTTACTCAAATATGGTTTTCAGGAACTCTTTACACCTCTGAACAGTATTTACACTGTCAAACCTCAAACATGAATTTTGAAATCATTGAATTTTTTAACATACTTTGAACACTAATTCATGTCTAAACGTATAACCTCACATCCTTGTAGTAGTTATGTTGCGTCATATGTTTTAAAAGCATAACAGTTTCCAAAATCGCATTAGGGACAACTGTGTGTAAATTTTCTATAGCAAAACAACTGTGAAAATCTAATTTCCAAGGACACTCGTGATCCCATTTTACCAAATATATTTAGTTAGTTAGGAAGTTTTTTATTTTATATTTACAGACGCATTTGATTAGAATTCTATAGTACCAAGTTCAAGTTGCACTATTCATAGAGTGATCTTTGATCTATACTTTGCATAAACAGCCTACATTTAGGCTAATTTATTTAACTGAATTATTGGCAGAAGAATTGTTTATTGTAATTTATTATTAATACATTTAATTATTTAATAAACATTGGTGTCTTCAATCATATTGCTTTCGCTGCTGTTTTATGAAATGTATAAGCCTCCTGAAGCAGTGTATTACTGTTTTTACCATTGTTATGTGGGTTTAAGCACTAATGGCCCTTAACCATGATAAATTCAGTGTAATGCATCTGCTTTACTGCTGTGATATTCTCTACAGTCATCTGCTATAAGTATGTAGCTCAGCATTGGTGTCAGGTCACTGAGTTGGCTCATATGAAACCATATGGCCACCGTAACAAAATGGACTGACCATTAACCCCAGTTCCGCACAAATAATTCCCTGCGAGCCCTTATCCTGTTTTGCCTGCCTTTCTAAGTGCATTGTTTTGTGTGTGGGTCAGAATCTGTGCAGGAATTCATCCTGTAAGCTCTGAAGCAAAGTGAAAGAGCATGGGTTGATGGAGTAAACCGGGGTCTGAAATTTCTGCAGCTGTTTGGCCTGGTCCAACACATACTTATGAATGCTAAACAAAGAGCCATGACCCCAGACAACTGCAGGGGGTTGGTTTACAACCTCATGGGAAAAAAAACAATGAAATCCATACCCTTCTTACCCTTCTTGCGTGGCTTCATATGATAGCAAAAATGTTGCCTAGGATGTAACTACATTTTATCATACCAGATTAATAAGACTTGGATTTTGTTAGCCATCTACAGTTCTGAAATGTTTTGAGTGAAACACTGAACAATATGTTAGATGGCATATATTAATCTGTCTCAGCGGTCCAGAGCTCAACGATTATTAATAGCCGTCTGTAATCTGGAGTGTTAACTGTGGTGCTCCGTACACTCAGATCCACATCTCTGTTCTCTATCTCACAGGAAACGCTATCTGATCTAGAGGGCAGGTGGGCCATAGACAGGGAAACAGCTGGAGGTGCAGGATATCTGTGTGTGTGTGTGTGTGTGTGTGTGTGTACTTGTGTGTGTGCATGTACCACAAAGCCTTATGTTGTGGCATTTTGTTCGGTTTATGCTTGCTTACATGAAGTTATGAATGTATCACGTTTTTACGGTTTGCTTATGTGGAGTTCTGATTATTATTAGGGATGCACAATATATCAGTGACCATATCATCCAAAATGATCATATCTTTATATCAGTATTGGTCTGATTTAGGATGTTATTAGAAGCAAATGATATCAGTTATTGTCCATAACAAAAATATGTACTAATATTACATAGATTGTCACAATTTCTATATCGTGCATCCCTATTATTTATTATTCATCAGTCAAGTAAAGAATTCGTATTATGCCGCTCTCTGGAATACTTGATAATGATCGGTCTATCGCTATATGTGACATGATCATTTTGAGTTGGAAGTTGCAATGAGGCATTTGTGCAGAATGCAGATGCGATGCTAAGATGTTGTTGTTGTTGTTGTTGGTGTTTTTGAAGAAACAAAGTCTCAGCTTTCTATATGGTAATTGTTTCTTTACTGCTGACATTAAACAATAAATGCTGTTGACACTTTTTAATGTGGTGTATACCAATTGTCTTGATTATACTATATTATATATTGTAATATGTTGTATATTAACATATTTGAATATCTCATATTTTGAAGCGGAGTCAATCAGTCAAAACTAAATAATTGCATGAATAGAAAGCTGAGACTTTCCCTTTTCATTAAGTGCATGAAACATTTCTCTGGTCAAAGTGACTCAATTTGATGGAGCAGATCTTCTCATGTTTCTTCACGTAGTAAAATCATTTCAGCTTGAATCAATATTTCATGTCCATTTTATTTATTTATTTATTAAGTAGCCATGTGGAATCATATAAAGTCAGCTGGTCATTACCACAAAATAAATCCCTTCAGGGTGATAAAAGCATGACTAGTCTCTCTGGATGCACTGTATATGATCTCTTACATATTTTATAGTTTGCTTCCACTGTTCCTGAAAGCATTTTGTGTGTCTCCTGTGTGTGTGTGTGTGTGCGTGTGCGTGCGCGCGCTTGCATGTTGGCATGTATTCTGAAGTAGGGCAGCCGCGTCTCATGGGACGCTCTGCAGCCGAGTTCTATACCTCTCCTCACCCTCCCTGTTCCTCCCATCCTCCTCCCTGTTCCTCCTCCTATCCTCTTTTCCTCCACTCCTCCCATGACCCGCACATTCATACAACGTCCCCTGCAACACACACATGCAGACAGAGCCAGAGGAAGTTTGTTCAACACAATATTTAAAATCACGCTCGCATGCACAACACATTTTTCTCTTCTCTGCATCTTTCTATTTCTCCAACACTGTTCATCGTAAAAGTTTGTTGTTGAGTACAGACGAGTTATCTGTCTCTAAAGAGGGTGACCTTTCTTTACTCTGTCTGTCTCTCTCTCTTTCTCTCTCTCTCACACACACAGTCACACAGACAGTCGGAGGGAGGGCGCTCCTCTGAAGCAGGTCAGCAGATCTCCTAACTCCAGTCCACCTCATAAGAACTACCAGAGACCGGCGGAGCAGCCCACAGACTCCGGCGCGAACAGCCCACGTCATGCTCTCAAACCCCCCAATGGGGTTCTAACACAAATGAACAGAGACCGGGACAGAGAGCGGGACATGGATGGAGTTACGCACGACACAGTTCCGGTCGTGAGGATAGAAACGCAGGGACTGCTGAATGGAGATGCTGCCAATATGGCGAAGAGGGCAATAATGGACGAGGACTGTGTAGATCTGCCTCATGCTCGCATAGACCAGACCGAAGAGCCGGAGAGGAAAGCTCCTGAGCAGCGGGACGTGGTGATGAACAGCATCCCTGAGCAGAAGGTAAGAGATTTTTGTTATCTGAGGGGATTGGTGAAGCATACTTTGTCATAATACTGCAAAGATCATCTCAGATGTTGTCAGTGTGTGTGAGTGTGGTTATGGAGTCAGTATTGACTCTGTCACACTGAAAGTTATTTGACACCTCAGGCCCGGCTATGTGCAATGTGCTGTCTCATCCGCTAGATTCACATGCTGACGTTTACATGAGACTCGTTTTTTTTTTTTTTTTTTTTTTTTTTTTTTACTTTAGCCTTACAGACCAGGCCTTCATTTCCTCTAAAGAAAACATTGCAGATGGATTAATGCTTTCAGGTTTTTTTTTTTTCCTTATTGCTTTTAAATACAGTTGCTATATATACCGGTAACCAATTTTAATTAAATAAATAAATATATACATTTCATTAAAATTGTTTGCTATATATATACACATGCATACATTTATACATGCATACATTTTATACATATATATATATATATATATATATATATTAATTATTCGCATGCTGTCTGATGAAGCTTTCTGGGGGCGCGTTTCGGATGTTTGCGCACAGAACACTTCTTGAAAACGTCAGTCCTTCCTCTAATAATATAGGGAACAACTCTGAACACACGAGACACACTTGGATAAAATGTTTCTTATGGTCTTAAAAACCTAAAAGTTTATGCTTAAATGCTTAATTTATTGACTACTACATGACTAAAGTTAAGTATTTTTGGACTGGATAGTGTGTAAAGCAGCCAGCAAGTGTCCAGCATACTTGTGAACTTTGCATGCTGTGATGCTTTTTAAATGCCATTGGAACTTCATGAATTTGGGTTAAGAGAATGTCTAGTACTTGAATCTAGATTAAGAATAAACTCAAATATAACAAACATTTTAGGTCAGTAAATAATTTCCTTACTTCCATTTGTGTTATTTCATAGTTTTAAATATTTTTATATTAGTTAAAATATTATTTATTTATTATATTTATATCTATTATTTAATTTGTTATTATTATTCAAATTATTCATGTAACATTTTTGGTCACTGCATAATTCTCTTCCATTTGTATTATTTCATAGTTTTAATTATTTTGATATGAATTAATTGCAATTAGTGTGTGTGTATATATATATATATATATATATATTTGTTTTATTATTATTAATATTTTTGGTCACAATAAAATTCACATACTTCCACATACTTGTCATTTTGTAGTTTCAATTATTTTAATAGTAATTAAAAAAAAAAATTGAATGTTTTATTGTTTTATGCATTTTATCAATAAAATAAAATGTTCTTTCATAAAATGTAAAACCAGTTTTTCTGTGAATCTGAACATCTGTGAAGCTTCAAGAACACAGACCTTCCATCTTCTGTCCATGCCAGAATCTCTTTCATTGGCTTTACTTGTTTCCTCTTATCCATCCTTTCATTTCCTGTCCTCTGAGGTACGTTTCAACAATATGCTTCTTTTGAATTGCAGTCAATTGTGGCAAAAGCTGGATATATTGGAAGTTAGTTGGTTTCTTTCATCGGCTAAGTGGTGCAGGGTGTCCGAAACAGTTCAAAGGTTATTTATGTGAGCTGAGGTTGTAGATTCTGATAAGAAAAGATAGGCTATGTGTCTTCAGAGTGCTGACAGGCAGATACTAGAACTGCTTGTGGTCAGTGTGCATCAGGAAGTTCCTTTAACAGACCTCAGTGTGTACAGCGTGTGTAAGCCAGTGGATGTTCATTCGTGTATGGGTGTGATAGCGAGGAAGAGGGGAAGAAATGTTATGGTGAGGTGAGGAATGTAGGTGGAGTGGGAGTCAACTTCTGAATTGGCTTTGCCCTTGACCTTTATGTTCAGAGTTCTGTTTCCTTCAGCCATGTGAGCTGCTGTGCTGAGCTGGGTGTCGCAACAAAGGATTTCTGCAGTGTTAGTTCCCTCTCAGCAAAATCCAACCAAAATCTCTTGTATAATTTAAGTTCAAATGAGCTCAAAGCTCAGAACTTTAGACACTCTGAATAATTTATAGTGCTTCAAGAAGAGTTGGAAAAGTTTGAAATCAAACGTGTGTAAAATGTGACAGAAAAAAAAAACTTTTGATAGTGAATAAAGGTCATGTTCCAACCCCAAATCTAAAAAAAAAAAAATATATATATTTTGCTAAAAGACTAATATATTTTTTAAAATTGTGACATTATTTTCATTAGTATATAAATAATACTAATATTTGTTGTACTGCTATTAATTATGTCAATTTTTTTAAATTAAAAAATATCTAGTGCGAATCACCATTTATAATAATAAGTATAACAAACTCAAAAGTAAAGTATCTGGACACTTTACAATAATGGGAATTGGGGAAAAATTGTTTAAATGTCATGAAAGAATTTCACTATTCAAACATCTTGATATTTATAATTATATTTTATGCCCAATATAATTGCTTTTTTTTTCTTTCTTTTTTTCTTCGATTATATTTGTGACAATTCACATTCAAAGATCTTTAACACCAACATTTGCATGAATCAAAGAAAGATATAAAGAGATGAAAACTGATTTTCATTTGCATCTGATACAATATTCAAGTTAATATATCAAACTTCTTTTGTTTAGGAAACCAACGAGCAGAAGCTCTACAAGATAGCAAATGAACTTCTGCAGACAGAGAAGGCCTATGTTACACGACTTAACTTATTAGATAAGGTAAGTGCTCATTTAGTTTTTTTCCATGAGGGCATGCAATGCAATGCTTTTTTTTTTTTTTTTTTTGGTAGACTGAACTCTTGTAAGTGGGAAACCAGGAGCATTGTTTTCTAATATGGCAATCTGAACATTTTAAAGATAGTAGTAAGCACACAGATCATACATCATCTAACTCTGGGCCTGCTGTGCAGGTGTTTTATGCCAAGCTGATAGAAGAGGCACGAAAAGACACATTCCCCGTGGATGTGGTGATGAAAATCTTTTCCAACATCTCTTCCATTAATGCCTTCCACAGCCAGTTCCTTCTGCCTGACTTGGAAAAACGCATGGGAGAATGGTAAGACATTCACACTCTCACTTTGTGGCAATTGGTTTTGGTTTAATTGGAAGAAATATGTTCTTAATGCTCTGAGACTTTTCTACCAGGACGTCAACACCTCGCATTGGGGACATCCTACAGAAGCTCACTCCCTTCCTGAAGATGTATGCTGAGTATGTGAGGAACTTTGATCATGCCATGGATCTGGTGAAGCAATGGACAGAGCGATCACCTCCATTTAAAGCTATCATTCTGGAAATCCAGGTGATTTTTAAAAAGAGGGTTTTTTTTTCCATAACCAGAGAGCTGGATGACTACTGGAATGCCAGTAGAATTAAATCATATAATACAATTTAATATTAAATGAGTAATTTAGTGTTATTCCGTGTAATAACACTGAATTAAAATTAAGTTAATTTATTGTACAAAATATATACATATATAGTAAAAAAAAACGAAGAAAAAAAATGTATTGATAAGGTCAGGATGTTGGTAGATTTTATACCTGATATAAAAGAGAACTACCACCAATAATTTAAAAATAGACAAAAGGGGCTTTTACAGCAGTGGAATGTTTTCATAGTTCCTATAACTATTGGTGGAAGTACCCGCTTTTTCACATCACAGGAACTGGGAACGATTTTAGTTATAGGAATTAGCTCCTACTTCAGAGTAGGGTTCTAACCCAGCACAATAGGAACTACCAGTGACATAAGTGTAGGTTGATTAGCCGAACGCATGCCATACGAAACACTGTGTGTTTAAACGGCTTTTTAAAAAAGACGGGTTCCAGTTTTCTCCATGAACTGACTCCACGAACATTGAAAACAGCGATAGATGGACTGACGCCAAAGTCCAGCCAGTTCTCAATCTTTACGCTTTGGAGTTGTTGAAGTTGTTGAATGCCGTGCTTAAATGACGTCACTGACGGCCAGCTTACATTAGAGTTCCTACTGGTGGTGTGACTGCAACCAGGAAAATGGCCCTAGGAAACATTGCGTTTTTTGGGCTTTTGGGGTTTTTGCGTTTTCATTGCGTAAAATGGCCCTAGGAAAACATTGCGTTTTTGCGTTTTATAACTACCCAGCGTGAAAGCCCCTAAATTGTGGCTAGTTTAACTGGCCAGGGCTGCGTTTCTCAAAAGCATTGTGAGCTAGCTAAGTTGGTCGTAGAGACCATTGGTTCTGTAGGATCTACTTCTGCTTACGATACTTTTGAGAAACGCAGCCCTGGCCGTTGTCTTTACTCTATCTCGATATATCTGTACCTTTTTGCCTTCTTTAGTGATTCATGTGTGCATGTTTGTGTGTTTAGAGTCAAGAAGTGTGTGGCAGTCTGACGCTGCAGAATCACATGTTGGAGCCTGTTCAGAGAGTGCCACGATACGAGATGCTGCTCAAAGACTATCTGAAGAAACTTCCACAGGATCACATAGACCGGCGGGATGCTGAAAGTGAGTTCAGGAGTGAGCAGGTTCCTAAGACAGTCGTTAAACGTGACCTTTCTTAAATATGAAATCTTTGTCTTTGCAGAGTCTTTAGAGATTATTTCCATGGCTGCCACGCATTCCAACACTGCCATTAAGAAAACAGTGAGTGTTTTTCCTCTGCTGTACAACTGAATCTCTAGATTATGTCTCATTAGCTATGCTTACATCCACTCATTTTTATGTGCAGTTTGGGATATTGCATTAAAAAAACGTTGGATGGAAACGGCAAGATGCGCATTAATTCAAAATATGCACTCAATTGAGACGGATACATTTTTTGATCCAATAATCCAATAAAACTTGTGCATAAGCTATGATGAAAATAAAATTCTGAAATGCCTTAGCCAAAGTCTGTTGTCAAAGTGGTTTAATTACCTCTCAGAACTGTCTTAGACTATTGTGTTCCCAAACACACACAAAAAACACAAATAAAGTAATTAATTACTAGATTATATTTTTTATAAGATTACTTATATTTTCAACAGTGTAATTAGATTACTACACTAATTACTCTCTTTAAAAAGTAAAAAGTATGTCTTTACTTGTTGCTAATTACTTCTTTAAATCCCATATCATTGACCAGTTGACCAGGATAGACATAAAACTGCTCTTTTAATTCTTTATATAAATAATATAAAATTGCATAAATTATTCTTAAACTGACCAAAGTATTTAAAGGGAGAAGGTTACATTAGAAACATACATTTTTACATTAGACATTCAATTTTGATGTTAAATCCACTATTGTTTTATATAGAATTTGTCTAGTCTATCTCCAAATATAATTTTTTTAAATAAATTCTCATAAATGTTTTGACACTTCAAATCAGGCTAAAAAGCTGTATTTTTAAAATTAGTGCAGCCAATGCTCATGTAAAAATAAAAAAGTGCTTTTCTCTTAAAATTGAAAGGCAAGACCACTTAACATTTTTTTTTTTTTTTCATTAATGTTTCTGTTTTTGGTCTTTCTCTTTATCTCTTAGGAAAACCTTAAGAAATTGTTAGAAATTTATGAGATGTTGGGAGAAGAAGAGGACATTGTGAACCCCTCGAATGAGTTAATAAAGGAGGGTCATATTCTAAAACTGGCGGCCAGAAATACCTCAGCCATGGACAGATATCTCTTCCTGGTGAGGACAACTAATTATTGTCCATGCTATTTCAGTCATTGATGAGTTACTATAAATATCTAGCTTTAAATAAAACAGTTTTAATTAGCATTTGGCTATTCATTTTCTTACATACCTACTTACTCTTTCCTACAGTTCAACAACATGCTTCTGTACTGCGTTCCCAAGTTCAGCTTGGTGGGACAGAAGTTTACAGTGCGCACACGTATTGGCATTGAAGGTATGAAGGTGATGGAGACGTTCAATGAGGATTATCCTCACACCTTTCAGGTTTCCGGAAAGGAACGTACACTGGAGCTGCAGGCCAGGTACAGACCGTACCATCTGTGCTTGCCACCTTTCTATAAGTGCTGGCATTTATAATGCATACAGAATATTCTTTTGTTTTTAATGGTCGTTGCCTCATTACAGCTCTGAACAGGATAAAAAAAGCTGGATAAAGGTAAGAATTTAATATTCACGTTTTTATACTTGATGAATATTACATTGTCATTAGAAGTCCATTTTCAAAATTGACTTCCTCTGTGATTTAGGCATTCCAGGAAACGATACACATCTCCCTCCAGAAAAATGAGACCTTTAAGTCAGCATGCAAAGATGTGGAGGAAACATCGGTCAGTATTTATTCTCAGAAGTGTAAAATTCACCTGGACTATTCAATTCAATTCAAATTTATTTGTATAGCGCTTTTCACAATACATATTGTTTCAAAGCAGCTTTACAGAAAGTGCATTTCAGAAATGTACATAGAAAAAATACTACATAATAACACAAGATACCGAATGCTCTGTTATTGTAAGGGAATTTGTAAGGGTACATTTACATAGCAGAAAGGGTTTTGCCATGTATTGACTTTTTTAATATTGATATTATTTAAAATAATGATTAAATTTGAACAATAATTTAAATAACTGAATATTTGTAATTAAAATAATAATTTATTTAAAATATTTTAATTAGTAATTAAATTAACAATTAAAGTCTTAATGAAACAGAAGTGGAGGCAGATGAACATTAAATAATTGGAGTCCTGCAAACATCACCCGAAAAAAAGTCATTTTCACCAGAAGCATTGATCACAAAAAGATCTATAACAAATTATATAGGCTGAATTTTCATTTGATGTCAACTTTAAAATCAGTCTGTTAAACTATTTAAATGAATCGTTTCAATTATTTAATTTTGCCTTTGTATCATGTCTCCCCTTTAGACATGAGTACTATATTAATGATAATGCTTATTTTATTAGATGTTAGATGTTTCAATCTTATTGTTCAGGGCAAAGGGTCATTTTCTGTGTTGTTGTTTTTTTACTTAAGTATGAACATAAGGGCCCTATCATACACCCGTTTTTTGCTAGTTTCAGCCCGACGCAGTTATAATTTTCACGTCCTGCGCCACGATGTTTAAATAGCAAATGCATTTGCGCCCATCTGTGCGCCCATGGGCGTGGCGTGCTGGTCTGAAAACGAGGTGTATTCAGGCGCATTGTTGGCGCGTTGCTATTTTGAGGCATCTGAAATAGACTGTGCCATTGACCAACTGAAACCTGGTCTAAAGTCAATGGTGCAGTTTTTTAAAGGGCGCATTAGTAATATGTGCCTATTAGGGCTGTCACTTTACGTTCGAAAACCGATTGCACAATCGATCGGACCAACCAACACAAGTTTCGAAAACGAAAATAGGGAATCGATTTTAACAGACTTTTCTTTTTTTTAAACAAAAATGTGTTTTTAGGGTGGACAGATCAATACAGGACACAGAACATGTAGGATGTTGGAAAATAACAATGTCTTTTCTGTTAACCAAATGCTTTTTAATATTCGCTATTACTTCAATGCACAAGTGAACAAGCGTGCCGTTATTTGTTGCGTAGTGACGTGTGTGTAAAAGTAAGCCAGAAATGCGCAGATTCTGGGCAATACGCTGTATTTAATATATCATGAGGACTCACGAGTTGCGTATTTGCGCTAAATCCGCGCAGATTTGGCTTACATGAACTTCCCCAGCAAAGTGAGTAAACATAGAAACACGCCAGATTGGCTCGTGATTTGACAGCGTTTCCCGCCAAAGTTCATTAAATAAGTGTTAATTTCAATCCCTGAATGTTGCACTCCTGTTTGTCATTGTACACGAAACTTCACGCCAATAAATCATCAGAAATATTGCTGACTTGTGCGTCTCAAGCGCCCTCTTTACGCTCGTCCTAATGCCTGTTAGGTGTCCGTGGATTTGCCTATATTCGGTGTTGAAAATGGAAACGTCTTTAGACATGGAAAATCGATTTTACAATCGATTCAATGAACACTTATGTCTCAAAAATCGAACAGGATTTTTTCACAAAAGTGACAGCGCTAGTGCCTATAGGCGGGTCCACAACGCACGTACACTCTGCTTAATACACACACAGGGACGCACAGCACACAAACATACCAAATATTAAACATAAAAGGATTACAATGTAAAAGATTATTATAGTGTACATAAAGATATGGTGGAATCCGGCTTGTCCCGTAGATGGTCTGCTCGCGCGCTTTAACCTCACACACGAGCAGATCCGTTTCCTCTGGAGAAGCGTTCAGTCTTTCTGTTTGCAAATTCCGCCATGGCTGTTAAAGGGAATGGGAGATGAGACTCTGATTGGTTTATTGCACGTTACGCCCAAAACACACCCATTACTCAATAAGAGAATAGGGACAACACTTTTAGACCATGCGCTCCGACCATTTTTCCCGTCGTTAAACTAGCAAAAGTGGATTCAGACACGCCCTAAGTGCACTTGTGCCGTGCGCTTTAGACCGTGCGCTTAGATTGTTTATACATTTCATGTCTATATTTCTTTGTAGGAACTTAAGATATCGGAGCTGGGTAAAAGAGCCCCTCGCTGGATCCGAGACAACGAGGTGACCATGTGCATGAAGTGCAAAGAGGCCTTTTATGCTCTCACACGCAGGAGACATCACTGTCGGGCCTGTGGATACGTAAGCGGCAGCAAACTAAAAACATGTAGTGTTTTTACAGTTTTGAAGTGTATTACATGTGCTGAAATGTCGATTTCATTCAGGTGGTCTGCTCGAAGTGCTCAGACTACAAAGCCCCTCTGGAATATGATGGGAATAAGATGAACAAGGTGTGCAAAGACTGTTACTGCATCCTGACAGGCCATATAGAGAGTGAGGAGAGGGAGGGCAAGAAGAAGGGAATTCTAGAGGTGAGTTCAGAATCACATGAATCGCATACAGTGACCTGGGGTCAGAGCTGCATTCTTTAATGTATCAATTACCACACACTGTACTGTCAGAAAAAAGACTTCATATAACCTTTATATATACAGTTACGGAAGAAAATACGACGTGCTCGAACTGTTGTGGTGGATTCGGCAGCGGTAAGATCGGTTGGTGACACTTTATAATAACCTGCAGAAGTAATCCGTCATTAACATTCAGTAATGCTTAACAGATCAGCAGCTGATGTATATCTTCATATATATACTCATGAATTTACAAGTTCCAAGTTTCATTTCTAACTAATTTACACAAACTAATGATCTGTTTAGCATCATGTAATGCAATAATGTTAATATTATTATTCGACTTATTATAAAGTGTTGCCACAGGTATAGTGATGTTTTAACGTTCTGGTTTGGTGACGCTTAAGAAGAGGGAGCAAAGCTGATTAAGCTAATAATTTTAAAACACATTTGTGAAGTAGTGGTTTTGCTTGTTCCCTTTTCTAAATTATCACTTTGTGCATCATGAGAGCAAACTGACTCTTATCTGAAACTTATATTTTCTTTGGCTTTCTTTTTGTTTTGCTTGCTTTCTGTGAATCTCTCAAATCCTGTGAAGAACATGATAATTTCACCTCAAGATCACAATAAAAAGTAATAAATTGTATTTTGCATTTACTTCGTTAAGTAAATGAAGCTGTATTGTCATGACAATTAAACCCATTTGCCACCTTTACTTACTGTTATGCGTCCAGATATTTTGATGTTTTGTTTGGTTTTATTTTTTATTTGTCATGAAAAAATTTTCATACTTCATCCTTTGTAGGGTCACATGGACACTGAATATATATGTATATATTAATTATATACATTACTTTTTTATTTTGATGTTGAAGTGAATACGACCCCCATTAATTTGTATCTGAATACGGAAATTGTAAATTAATTACAGAAACTGACAAAAAAGAAATTACAATGTGACAAAACCAATATATAGATTTTTTTTCTAAAATACATAATTGTGTATAAAACCATGCAGGCTTTGTTAAATTGATTGATCTCATATAGGAGTGATGCAACATATACAGTGCTAAACATCTCCTCTTCTCCCTCACAGATTGAAGCTGCTCAGTTCTCAGGAAGCAGTATCATGTGTGGCTTCCTACAGTACTGTGAGAAGAACAAGCCCTGGCAGAAAGTCTGGTGTGTCATTCCTCAGAAAGAAGCTTTAGTTCTCTACTTGTACGGAGCACCTCAGGTCAGTGTGCTTGTATCTTCCTGAACCGTGCTATTTCTGTTCCTGTACATCACTTCCCTTTACTAAACAAAGATGCACTGTCCTCACAGGACGTCAAGGCCCAGTCCACAATTCCTCTGCTCGGCTACCAGGTGGAGGACAGCCCGAGACCCACCGACCCTCCCACAAGCTTCAGACTATCTCAGTCTAAATCAGTCCACAGCTTTGTCGCAGAAAGCGAGGAACTGAAACAGCGCTGGCTCAAAGTGATCCGTATGGCGGTGACGGGAGAGGAACCAGAATCGCCTGAAGAAAGCCATTCTACGGAAATCACCCAAGAACCAAGCTCTAACGGTGTCTGAGCAAAGAGAGCAAACTTTTCTTAAAGACTTCTCTACTGGTGTGGCGATGCAATTAGTAAGAAAAGTGTTGACGCTCCTGCTTGCGTTGCACAGACTTGCTGCGCCATCATTATTGGACGGTCTGAGCTACAGCATTTGTCCAGTTGTCCTAAAGTTCCATTTGGATTTGAACACATCTAGGATATGGGGGTTAAAAAGACATGGACATCAGCTTGACCCTTAGGGCTACTGGACAGATTTGAAGTTCATGCAAATGGAGCACATGTGAAGAGTACATGGAGGAACTAAGAGCTATTCCACCACCTTACTACAGCTGATGCACTGTTTCAAGTCGAATGTAAATATTGTACTGTAACAATTGGACAAAATATTGAACATTTTCATGTATGTAGTAGGCTATATTGAGGCAAAAATCCAGATTTGTGGATGCCATTGTAAAAGGACACAAGTCCTTTTCAAAAAGTCAAGATTGCAATCTACTAAATTGCATTCAGTTGCAGAACGCGGTGAATGCAATAGACACTCCTGTATGGCCATCGTTACTTTGCCACAACATGTGTTGACATCTTTGTTGATTCTAGGGTTGCAGCGGTATAGGCTATAGTTTCACGATATATAGTTATATTAAATTTGACAAGTACCATACCGTTTATATTTAATGGACGGTATTGAAAAAAAATTAACCGCACTGAGAATCTCATCTGCGCACGTGACACACACCTAGCTAGATGCTGAGGAAAATATTGTGAGGCTGAATAAATCTTCACTAAATTTGTAGCGCGGCTCCTATTCATTAAGTATACTTTGTTACTTTTGATAAGAAACAAAGTCTCAGGTTTAAAATTCGGTCAATTTTATCGCAAAATTCAAACAATAAAACCGTAGCGGCGCTCTTTAATGTGGTATGACAAATCGCTGCGGTGTCAGTTTAAGCGGGAGCGCGCAGTGAACGTGAACCGATCATGTTAACGTCAGAACAGAAGGTATTTGAAAGATCCAAAACAATTTACTGAAATGTATCTGCTGTCATTTAATCGCCTAATCAGGGTTTTAACCACGGAAAGACGTCAATAAAACTGCTTTTGAACATGTCAGGAAACATTACATTTACCTCAGGAAAGTATCCATAGCTCGATAGCTACAGAAAGATCTCCAGGGAGGAGCATTTAATTAACCTGTTAATTTATGTGAGTGTGTGTGTGTGTGTGTGTGTTTGAATAATTGTCATAAAGACAAGTTTGTATGAAAACTACCTTATGTGCAATTTAAATGTTTGTAAGAAAATCTGTTTTGTTTGTGCCGAATTTGAAGTTATAGCCTAATGAATTCAGTAGTTTGGTATCGGTTGTTTATTTACCCTTTTAATATTGTAGTAATGTTCCAAATGAGGCATTAATTGGGAGATGTGTAGCTGCGAAATTTTCAAATGAATAAATAAGGAAACAACATATAATACCATGAAACCGTTATATTTTCAGAGATGGTTTCATGGTTAAGTTATCATACCGTGAAAATCTCATACCGTTGCAACCTCAACCAACTCCTGACCATTAGCAGTAGTCCAGGACCAACAAGGTGCCTATTTAACTTGTCTGGGATGTTATCAAAATAGCTTAATCGCCAGGTTTTGCTTTGCAGTGCTTCATTCATCAGATATGAAAGATTCATAAACCTGCTGTCTGTGTACCTCGATCAAGCCAGACGCTTGGATTGGTTCCTGAAGAACAACAAAGACAATGTGAATAATGTTTCACCCACCATAAGCTGTTTCACTTTTCCTCATGTAAAAGCTCAATCGAATCAAACATGAACAGAATAATGGCTTTGATGTCAGTAGCTCAGCAATCAACCACAGACATTGAATTATCAGAGATGGACTGGACAGTGTGTGATTTATCAGATTCAACTCGCTAATCAATAGATTTAGTATTGACATGAAATAACTGGTTGTAAATCAAATCTGTATAGAAGTTTTTGTAATATACATTTTATTCGTAGGCAGGCAGTCAGCCGACCAATAGGGAAGGGTGTGAGGATGAGTTTTTTTTCTGTATATGATGCCTCTACTGTGGGAAGCACAATCAGACTCAGTAGGCCGCTGGAGCAGGAAGACACGTATACGTTCTTTAAATACTACAATTATAATTTTATTATTTAAAAATAAATTATGGGAGATATGCATGATTTTACATAGCACAAAATTACATTTTTAGTCCCTCAGTTCAGTTTGGACCTTTTATTCATCCCTTTGTACTGAAGAAATAAGCGTTTTTTCTTTCTTTAAGACAAATCTGCAGTCTCTTGCCTTGCTCTGCAGAACAAGCTGAATATTATTGGAAATGGACTTTCATCACATCACCATTGTGAGCTACAGACCTTTCACACTAATTCATCTTAAGCTAAATTTTTATTTAAAAAAAAAAATAATTGTAGTTTGATGTTTCTGGGAAAAGGCAATATTGTAAAAACATTGAACATGATTTAAAAGATACCTGACTTTGAAACATCACAGCTAAGTCATATTTTTTCCTTTGCAACCAGTTGTTGATTCCACAGTCCATGTTTTCTGAATAGGATGTGCCTGACATTTATAAATGTAGTCATGAACACTTTTATAGACAAACTAGGGAGGCAATTAGGTTGGAATATGTGCATTTCTGTATTAAAACATGGACATGTGCTTATTGTTGCCATTTGAAACAATCCTTACCATGTGATCTGAATGTAGCCTGCAGGTGTTATCACTCCCTGAATCCTTTCTGCAGTAAAGCTCTCAAAGCCAAGACCGAGCCCATTTTAAACATACAAAATAAACTGAAAATTATGCACTTTTCTGTCTTCTATAAAGTGTACCTTATCAAATTAAACAAGATTATTCTGCAATGGTTTTGTGCCTCAGCTATTCACTATGCAAATCACAAGAAACAGGAATTAAAGCTGCCGTCGGCAACATTTTTTTGATCATATTCAGTGAAATCGACACTATAATCTGACAGAACAACATAAATAAAGTGGTTTTAGAAACAACCCCGAGCTTCTAACTCCACCTGGAGCTTGTTATTTGTTTTGCAAAAATCCACAGCTCCCGGTTCATCATGTCCAATCAGCGCAGGGGGGTGTGAGATCTGACTGTCAATCACAGATCGGGCACACGCCACCCCTCGCGCACGTTACAATCACATGCACACGCCTGAAGTTCGCGGAAGTTCGCGCAGTAACGAAGAGTGATGGCGGAAAATCAAGTAAGCTCATTTAGAGTATAAATGACGTTAGTAATTGCAATCTATCGGTACATTAGCCAGGACAGCATACCTCCAAATACTCCATGGTGTTGATGGATGTTGATGAGACGGGCGCGTTCCAGGGCTCTCAAGTTTTGAAGACAGGTAAGAGTGACACCCAGCCGACGGGGGGTTGGATACATTTTTGTCATTGGTTGTTGCGTTAGATCTTACCCAGATACAATAGTGCTATTTTCTGATTGGCTATTGTGTAGCTCGACGAACAACACCAGAGGAAACGCGCTTGATTCATGCGGTTCCACAGTGAGAGCGGCGCGGCCAGAGTTTTGGGCGCTGCGGCATATTAAATATATTACAAATAGTTTTTCAGCGTGAGAAATACAATGTGTGGCGGGAGAGCGTGACAAAAGACCGAAATGAGTGACTGTCACGCTCAATGCGTGACACTTGAGAGCCCTGGCGTTCACTGAAAATCTGGTGCACACGCACTGACGAGCATGAACTGGGTGGGAGGGTATCCGTTGATAGTGGGGGAGGGGCATGAGAGTTGTAAACATTAAAAAAAATTCCTAAATCCACTCAATCTGCCAGACTTGCCGACTGGAGCTTTAAGTGCTTAATTTGCTCAAGCAGCTGTACAATACTTACATTGTTGTTTTTTCTTTAAGTCACATATTTTGCCAAGAAAAAAACAGGGATGTCTGTTTAGAAAACCATTTATTTACCACATTAGAAAAAAGCAGAAATCCAGAGCAGAGATCTTCATACCAAGACAATTTAATATGTTGATAGTAATCAAAACTGCAAAAAGCACTTGTTTGACACCTAATTGAAAAGAATAATGTTCCGCACTATTTGTGATGGTTCAGCCTTTGGCATGATGCACTAGGCCCCGGATCCTGCGCGTCAGGGCTTGGATGAAGGTGTGACGGGAACGGGTTTTACTATATAGACCCTCGACCTCCAGCAACTTCCTCTGGAGCGGCTCACTGAAGCTGTTTGCTACATCACTCTGCAACTACACAAACAAGAAACACTCAAAAACAATACCAAGCAGACATTTGGATAAGTACAGAGTCAGTAAGATTTCTTTATGTTTTGGAAAGTCTCTTATCCTCACCAAGGCAACATTGTGGAATATTTACAATTTAAAATAACTTTTCTAATTTAATATATTTTTAAATGCAACATATTCCTGTGATTGCGAAGCTGAATTTTCAGCATCATTACTCTCGGTGTCACATGATCCTTCAGAAAACATTCTAATATGCTGATTTGCTGCTTAATATTGCTTAGTAGTAGTAAACCATGACATTTTCTTTTCAGTACTAGAAAGTTCAGCATTTAATGGAAATGGAAATGTCTTTAATGTCACTTTTGATCAATTTAGTGCCTTGGTCGGGAACCTGTGGCTCTTTGACAAAAATCATATGGCTCGCCAGTTTGCACCCTTCACCAACATTATGATCATTTAAAGGGGCTATGTGTAGGTTTTTATTTTAAAAAAAATCTTTAAGATAGAGTCTTCATTTGTACATTTATGAGCCAACGATAATGTAATAGAAAGAATGACTCATTGACTGTCCACCACGGTTGCCTCTATCAGCCTGTAGGCTCAATTGTCTGTGGAGGAGTCGGGTCCAAATTGGCGTGAAAATTCTCAAAATGTGACGTCATGCGCGTTTTCGTCTACTTGGGCTTACATCCGTATAGCAGCCATTAGTAAGCAGCGGCAATCGCTAGCAGTAGTGTTTCAAATGGACTCTGCGGACAGAAAAAAGCGACCAGCCTCCAGCACAATCCAGATACCCACGGAAACTCCTCGTAAGTAAAAAAAAAAAAAAAAAAAAAAGCCTTATCTAGTGCGGCCAATGAGCGTGTGCACCGAGAACGAGCATGAGACTGGCTGCAGTTTCTCTAACGGCCACTGGTGTCAGTAACGGTAAGAAATTTCAGAACTTCCGCAATGCTCCTTTAAAACTTAGATCACAAGACTCCTGCAATGTACCTGTTCAATATCTTGCTGGCTCACTCTTGACGCACTTAAACCTCTGCTGGCACTAGGATCTACACAGAAAGAAATTGGTCAGACATTTGATAAACAAGTCTTTCATGCAGTTAAAAACAACATAAAACTGAACAGGACAGGACAGCTGACCTCTGTAACCTGGCAGAAGCGAGTCTTTGGCGTCAGTGGGAGTGCAGTAGAGCAAGTAGAACTCTAGGTGGCGCCAAATCACAAACAGGCACGTCTCAATGATATCTTCAGAGAAATGTCAAGAAAAACATGCAACTGCTGTCCTCTTTTCAGGTGTCAGATTGTAATCGCCAGAAAAAATAAACAGTAGAAGCTTAAGAAGTTATTTTAAAAAGCAAATTGGAGCATCTATAGATGTATCAGGCAATCTTTATGTGTTAGGATACAGGAACAGAGGGCAAGAAGTTTGGCTCTGTTGTTGACCAGCTGGACGAGCCGGCGCTTGGCAAGCACGTTTCTCTGCACTGATGGGATCTTTTCCACTCCACCAGAACCAGACACCAGACCCTGGCACAGCTTTGCACACA